GGGTTTGGGGGTAATGGGTAATTTAAAATGGTAAGGTTGAAATGTGGCCGTTGATCATTTTGATCAACGACCTGGATTAAACGGGGAGCCGGGCGGGTCGTTTAAACGAGCTGTGGGTCGGGTAGTTTTAGGAATTGGGCTGGACAATTGAAATTTAAATTGGGTTGGATTAGGGGTGCCAAATTAGCCAAAATCGAAATAAAAGCAGGCTAACATTTAGATAACCATTTTCCCTTATTTACTTTATAAAAAATAGTAAACTAATTTCTGGAAACAAATTAAAGGTGCTGAAATAATTAATAATATATAAATATTAAATTAAAAATACTGGAGTCAATTTTGTAAGTATAAACACAATTAAATCTTAAAATAGGCTAATATTGCAATTATATGCAATTTAGCTTTAAAAATACTAAATAATTTTGTAAAAATGTGCAAAAATCATACAAGCTATGTTTTAGTATAAATATGAGAATCCAATAAATAAATTACCAAAATGCCAGTTTTGGGAATACTTATTGGTTTTTTTCTTGATAAAATAGGGCAATAAAATTGATTTTGAAATCATTAAGAATTGAGAAAAATAATAGGGCCTTGGGACATACTTATATATGCATATACATGCTATTTTGAAAGGTATTTTGCATATAAAAAATACAGGAAAAAATTGGGTATCAACAGTAGTGAATAAGATATACGGAGTATTTTACACCAAAGAGGAGAGAATAATAAGGTTCAAGTTTTACTTTCACGGTTCAGGGAGCGGTCGGTAATTCATATCCCAGGGAAGAGAACGTGGAGGCATACGCGTTGGCCAATTTAGGGTCGTTCGCGAAAATGAAAGGAGCCTTCGGTGCAGTAGTTTAGTTGTTGCATTCAGTATTAGGTGTGAATGGGTGTTGTGAAGTTAACTCAAACAACCTAATTGGGGATTGGAGAAACGCATCTATAGAGTATTTAAGGCATGGAAAATTACCTGAAGATCCTAAAGCTTCCTAGGCACTGCGAACTAAAGCTGCTCGTTATTGCCTAGTTGATGGTCAATTTTACCGAAGGTATTTTCAAGGACCATTGGCTCGGTGTTTAGGGACATCAGAGGCTTATTATGTAATAAGAGAAGTTCATGAAGGGGTTTGCGGAAATCACTCAGGTACGGACTCGTTGGTTCTCAAATTGATAAATGCTGGTTATTATTGGCCCCGGATGGAACAAAATACAAAGGCATTCATTCAAAACTATGATAAGTGTCAGCATCATGCACAGTTAGTGATGCCAGCAGAGCTTCTGCACTCGGTGGTGTCACCGTGGCCATTCATGAAATGGGATATGGACATAGTTGGTCCTTTGGCTCAAGGGCCCGGACATGTATAATATTTATTTAGTTTTAACTGATAATTTTACTAAATAGGTTGAAGCATGTGCTTACAAAAATATTGGAGAGTGCGAAGTGATTGATTTTATATGGATCATATCATTTGACGGTTTGGAGTACCAAAAGAAATTATTTGTGACAATGGCCACAATTATTAGGCTCCAAAGTCAAAAGGTTTCTTGAGGGATTGAAGATCAAAATGATCACATCTTCTCTATATCATCCAAGTGCTAACGGACAAGCGGAGTTAACCAACAAGGTGATAATTCAAAACCTCAAAGAAGTTAGAGGATGCTAAAGGCAATTGGCCAACAGAGCTACCGCAAGTGTTATGGGCATACCGAACAATGGTGAAGTCAAGCATGGGAGAAACAATCCTCTCCCTTGTATGCACCGTGGAAGCCTTGACTCCGGTGGAGATTGGGGAATCGACCATAAGGTATCCCGGGCAAATGAGAAGGCGATTAACAAAGAAATGTTGATTAAGCTGGATTTGCTTGAAGAGCGCCGGGATTTAGCATATGTGAGGACGGTGGCATAAAATCAAAGGATGAAAATGTATTATAACCGTAGAGCAAATCTTTGACATTTTAAAGTCGGAGATTTGGTTTAGCGAAAAGTGACTCAATGTACCAGAGAGGTTAATGCGGGAAGCTAGGACCAACATGGGAAGGACCTTATCGGATTTAAGCTATGACCGGTAAAGGTTCATATCAGTTGGAAAATCAAGAGAGAGTAAAATTAACAAGCAATTAGAACGTGACTCACACCAAAAGTTACTACTGTTGAAGATCCTTGTTGATACTAAAAGTATGTGTGCACTCTTTTTCTCTTCGTCCAGCTTTTATCCCAATTAGATTTTTCTAGAAAGGTTTTTAATGAGGCAACAACGTAAAGCATACTACAAAGAAAGATTATCGACGATATCAAGAACTCTAGTATTCGGGTTCTCATGCTTAGCATCCGAACAATAGGGGTAACTATTGTATATCAGAGCACTAAAAGTGTCATGAAGGCCGGGGAATGTTAGAACCAAAAGCTGTATCTTATCAGGACCATGACTGCATGATCCGCCCCGTAGAAATAAGTTGTACAAGTTAGCCATATGTATTGACAGCTTTATTTACTTAAGCAAATAAATTTTTATGTAAATGTACTTTTAGAAATAGAAGGAATAAATTAAAGTTCTTTTGTTTTTATCTTATTTCTTGTCCAAGTGACATGTCAAGATCTTTTCCATTTGAACGGTAGTTAAAATTCAAATGCTTATTCTGGAGTAAACAGGAGATGTCCTTTTCAAGACCACCATAAACATAAGGGTCCTCTTTTGTGAAACCCTCATAGTTGAAGGGTAAATACCAGAAGTATGAATGCTCGAAATTAAAGTTATCAGATGTGAAATATTCCAGAACATTATCAAATTAAAAAAAATTCTTTTAGGAATTAAGCAAAAGCTATTTTTTATTTCTTAAAATGCCAAACTCAATAGATGTTTCGGCATAGTTAAAGGAATAAAAAGTATTACATTAATTGCTCTTGTCAGCGGAGTCTGAATGGAGAGTAGTCTCTGTTGCATCTTTTGAAGATGAAGGATGTCCCGCATCTGGTTCATCGCCTTCATCCTTGTCTTTATCTTCTTCTTTAACTTTCTCTTTGGTCCCCGAGGACTCAAAAGATGTGCTCGATGAGCTTGAAGCAGTGGGCCTAGCAGGAATGTTGTCGAAGGCAGTTATCTCTAACTCAAGAGCCTCAACAATGCAACCATCCACGTTTGTAGTGCCTTCTTTGGCGTCCTCCAAAGTCTTCCTCCTCATGTGATAAATCGCATAAGTTTTCTCAGGGAGGAAAGAGTATTCTTGATCTTGGTGTTTGGATCGAAGCTTCTTGATTTTGAATTGCAACTATTCGTTTTCAGCCTTCACAATGTCATAGGTACGACAAAGGTTAGTATTTGTCCTCGTGTGTTTGCGGTTTTGCTCCATGTCCTTTTTGAGCCTTTCCTTCATCCTAACTTTCTTCTCCTCGTCAGCAAGAACTTCCTCAGTTTTTAGAGCGTAAGCTTGCTTCTAATTTATTGATTTGTTCCATGGAAGTAGACTCGTATTCTGTTGCCACAGATACATCATCCTGTAGTTCAACCTTTGTGCTTCAACTCCTCAAGCTCTTTATGCAATTGAGTGGATTCTCGATTGCGAACCATCTTTTCTTGCTCAAATTGCTCAAATCGAGCTTAAAGATCACTCATTTGAGCAAGTCTTGCCTCTAAAATCGAGGGACGCTCAACAAGTTGATCTCATTCAGCAGCTCCGATCCCATTCGGCAGCAAGCTCCTCCTTTAGCTTGGATAAACCTGAAAAGTGGAAGATCAAAGTTATAAGGATAATGTTTACCAAGAGAAAAGGGAAGAAGGAAGAATAAGTTAATACCTGAGAAACACAATGCATGTTATTTAATAAGGCATTATGCAGAAAGGGCTTCCATTTTCTGCTGGTTCTTGTTCGAAGCCAAAGGCTTCATGTAATTGGCAACTTCCACCGGCTTGGAGAGTAAGTGAAACTCATTCGAAACTAAAAGAGTGATGCTACTTTTACCATCGAGGTATCGAATGGGTTCGGGGAAAGAGTTCTAAATGTTCCCATGATCGGGTGACTGAGGAGAACGAACATCTACTATTTGTTCAGTTAGAGCCGGTGGTAAGGCAGGAGCTGATGATGCTACAACTGATGTTGGAGTAGGAACTTGAGGAATATCAACGGTATGACTCCTCTAACCTGAAGAAGCAATAAGAGCTCGGAAACGGGACTTAGTGTCTTCAACTATCCCCATTTCAGTGAAGAGTCCTTAAATTTCGTCGTGTTGAGCATCCAATTGAGTAGGGGGAGATCTTTTTCTTGTTCTTTGAAGCAAAATTGTTTCTCCGTCGTCCTCGATTTCTTCTTCAACGAGGACCACTATGGTTGGTCCAATTGGAATAACTTTTGTTGAAGGCTTCTCCTGAGTATCAACTTTGGAGGTATGTCTTCTTTTTGTTTTTTTCTCCTTGGGATGGGGACTCAATGGTGATGGACCTTCATCGGAAGCAAGAGAGGCATCATAAATCCTCTTTCAGTCAATGATTGCTTGCATTTGTTATTGTACCACCGTTGGCTAAAGGAAACCTCAATAATAGGGCAGATAGAAGACCCCTTTGGAAGGCTTGTGTATTGCAAAAGGGAGTCAACAAATTGCACTACTAGAAAATGGGCCTACGGTTACGGGTTTTTTTGGCAACGGTTCACAAACCATTGCCAAAGATCGGATATAGTAACGGTTTAACCGTTACAATATCATTTGGGGTGGTATCAGTACACTTTAACTATCAAACCGTTGCAATTATAAAAGAACCGTTGCCATAGAAGATTTTCCCGCAACGGATCTATAAACCTTTCCACTATACATATTTATGGGAACGGTTTAGGAGTAATATTTTTTAATTGGAACGGTTTTAATTCCTCCTTATTTTACCGCCTGAAATTTTCTAAACCCGCCAAATCAACCCTTATTTTTTTATATTTTTAATTAATTTTAATAATATAATATAAATATAAATTAAAGTTAAATCCCTTTTCCTCTTTTCCCAGTAATTAAACCCACCCACCTTAGCGATACATCCAAAGTCGAAAGAATTAACAGTACTGCTATTCGATCGACCTTCCCCGAATTCCAATCGAATCGGACAAGCGTAAAACCAAATCTCTTTCTTTTAGCCTCTCAAAGATTCATTCCTCCAGAGTCTTGATTCAACTCCTTATAGATTCATTTCAAGGCTCTTGCTGACCTTCCCCAAATTTCAATCAAATCGGAGAAGCCGTCAAAAGGAATTGGAGATTCAACTCCTTATAGATTCATCCAGTAAGTTTTGTTATGTAATTTGGGTTTTTCCCTTTAATCATTCATTTTTCTTCAATTTTACATCTTCTTATAACCAACAGTAAATTCTTCAATTTTAGGTTTAATGTGTCGTCTTCTGCTGTGTTTTAAGTGATATTGGTATTGTTGATATTCCTTCATATTTGTGGTAGATTTGATAGATTAGGTTCACAGTTGCTTTAAAACAAATTACTTTTAGACCGTGTAGTTCGAACAACTCCTCTTAAGCGTGCCATGACTTTTGGAAGATGTTTAGAAGGTAGCAGGACCAACCGTTAGTCTGAAATATCTTTCCTTTAGTTTCGTTGAACTTCTAGCATTTCGTCGTCGTTAGGTCTCTTAGAGTTGAATCCTCTCTGCTTAATTTTTTTCTCAAATTTTAAATTCATATAATCGGCATCGATTAGTATAGTTAATTCATTGATACTCTGTAATTTTTCTCTGAATCGCTATGTGTGTGTGTCTGCTTTCTCTCCTTTCCAGGTCGAGTTTGAGCCTTCCGTTCCCAGAGCAGAAAGCCAAGTATTATAGAGAGCTGGACACTGCTGCTGATGTTGTCAAGCGAGCTTGTCGTCTATGAGTTGATGTAATTTCTCCACTCATTGTAAATAATTAGCTAATTACTCCTTCGCTTCCGTTTATATGACTGCATTTCATGAGTAGACTCAACTTTAACATGTTAATTTGACTTATATGTTAGATTACTGTTAGTGAAAGGGTTTGACACGAAGTTTAAAATTTTTATTTTGACTTATTTACTACTATGTTGATGAAAGTAGACGAAAATATTGAAGTGAAGATAATTCTAAAAAGTTACAAAAGCAGAAATAAGACCACGGTATGTAGCTCATACTTCTTTGACAATCCTGATAACATTGGCCACCAGTTGTTGTATATAGCACAAGCCTACGAGAAACAGTCGACCAGAAATGTAAACCAAAGGCAAATATTAATTGAATCACTTATACTTTATCCGAGAAGTGAACGCCAGCAATTGAACCATAAAGATGACGCAAATGAAGAAGTCAAGCGAGATTTTACCATGCTTTAAGCTTTCTTGCTAACTGATTTGCCTTATTAATGATTTGGCTACTCATTAAATAAGTTAACTAAATTGAATAAAATTTGGAATAAAAAAAACATATGTCCAGTTGTAAGTATGCATGTGTTATTTCTTTATAAAGAGTCAGCATCTCCCAGAGAAATTCACTTATTGACTCAGAAGGTAAAAGCTCAAGAAATGATATGTTTCAAGATTTATGATGAATTATAAATAGTACTCTAGCCTTTAATACCAGGTTACTGCTTAACTAACACTTGTGTGCTAGATCAATAATTATAGCTTGTTAAATCTGATTAAGCACAAGGAGCTTGATTGTAATGTTTCCTAGGTCTATTTTCAGGTTTCTTCAGTAAAGATTCTGTTTTTCACCTATCTAGTTACTAATTTCAAGTAGACACCCTTTTCAGAAGAAAGAAGAAGCAAGATATTTGGTGAGGTAAACCTTCTGCTTTCACTTAGTTTGTCTTCTTTTTGGTGTGCAACTGACTGTGTATGTTTGTGCTTTTGAAACTGAAAATGGGTGTAGTTTAGCCTTCTGAAACTTATTGTCTATGTCTTTCTGGTGTTACATTGCTTCTTTATTTTTGTGCTTTTGAAAATGAAGGTGGTTATAGTTAATTTTCTGAAATTTATTTGGATTAGGGTTTATATAGCCTATCCCAACTAGCTTAGGATTGAGGTGAAGTTTTTGTAGTTGTCCGGTTGGTTTATTAATTGAGTAAAGATTCTGTTTTTCTGAGTTTGCACTATTTAATTCTTTTGTCTAAGTATATGTTGTTTTCTCAATGGTCTTTCTGGAGTGCCACTGCCTGTATATGTGATGCTTCTGAAATTGAAGACGATTGTAATATTTTTTTTTGTAAAGATTTGAATTTTTTAACTATTCATATTATCAGAGATAATTTTTAAGAAGTTAACTTTTAAAGGCCTTAAATTGCTTTACTGTTTGTGAATTTCTTTGTGACTTTCTGAGTTCCACCCTTAAAAGCAGTGGTTAATGTCAAATTAATATGCTTTTGGTTTATTTGGTTAGTTTTGTTGATTTACTTTTATCGTATAGGATATCTATGGATAATGGTGATAAAAGTTGGATGAATCTCCTGAGATGGACGGATGAGTATATCCGTGTAGAGAATGATTTTCTTGATAAGGCATTTGAACGAGCCGCCCAAGGAAATAAAATATTATGCCCTTGCAAAAAGTGTATGAATCGCTATTGGTATTATAGAAATGTGGTGGAGGATCATTTGGTTGTTCATGGATTTGTTGATGGTTATACCAAATGGGTTTTCCACGGGGAAGGATTTTCCTCGAGAAATACACCTCATCCAAGCAATGATGATGGAGGTTCTACCATGCATGACTATATTGATGGTCTACTGAATGATACATTTAGAAATATAGAGGGTCACGTAGGGGATGAAGAAGGAGTTGGGGAAAGACTATCTGAAGATACAAAGAAGTTTTTCAAATTATTGGAGGAAGGCAAACAAAGAGTTATACCCGGGGTGTGAAAATTTCAGTAAACTGAGTTTCACTATTCGGTTATACTTGCTTAAATCCTTGCATGAGTTGAGTAATGTGGCTTTCTCTGAGTTGTTGGAGTTGATAAAAGAGGCATTTCCCTTTGCTCAGGTACCAGAATCTTTCAACAAGGCTAGAAACATGATAAAAGATTTAGGTCTTCATTATGAAAAAATACATGCATGCCCTAATGATTGCATGTTATTTTGGAAAGAAAATGCGAATGCCGATACTTGCTCTATGTGTGGGTCTTCAATATGGAAGAGTGCTGGTCCTTTGACTAAAGCAAGCTCTAAACTCCCTGCAAAGGTTTTAAGGTACTTTCCTTTAAAGCCTAGGCTTCAAAGGATATTCATGTGTCCTGAAACGCTGCTGCAATGAGATGGCATGCTAATGAACGACCAAATGATGTCAATATAAGACATCCTGCTGATGGGGAAGCTTGGAAGGCTTTTGATTCTTTGCACCCAGAATTCTCTAGAGATCCTCGGAATGTTAGATTGGGTCTTTCAAGTGATGGTTTCAACTCGTTTCGGACCATGAGCATTTCTCATAGCACGTGGCCTGTTATGTTAATGAACTATAATTTATCACCGTGGATTTGCATGAAGCCAGAGTATATAATGTTGTCTATGATCATTCCTGGTCCATCATCTCCTGGAAATGATATAGATGTGTACCTCCGTCCATTAATTGAAGAATTGAAGGAGCTATGGGAAACTGGGATAGACACAAAATAGTGGAGTGACTTTATCGGCGACAACAGATAGTTTTGCTAGTTCTAGGGACCAAAATCCCATCGATGGTGAGGTTATCTATTATGGAGCGATTCAGGATATCATTGAGATTGATTATTGGGATTGTTTTAGTGTTGTACTGTTTAGATGTGATTGTTTTCGTAATGAAATAGATGATTATGGGTTAACTTGGGTGTACTTCAATAGATTATGTTGTAGAGATGACCCTTTTGTGTTGGCATCACAAGTTTATCAAGTTTTTTATGTGGAGGATCCAGTTGAGAAAGATATTTATTATGCGAGGAGCAAAGTACATGTTGATTTGTATGATCTAGAGGAAGAGAACTGTCCTAATATTGGAGACACATTTTGGAAGGAACCTAATAATGACATTGGTTCCTCATCTAGATTACTTGATGTTGACATTAGATGGTCAAGAGAAGATGTACCCGTTGATATCATTGATACTCCATCTAATGCACAAAATTCACATGATACAACGGTGGAAACATCGGAAGAGGAGGATGGGTTTGATGATACTGATTGGGACTGGATGGAAGCAGATGATTAAATAAGAAAATTCTGAAATTCTTTTAAGTATATTCTTTTTTGGGTGAGTGATAATGCCTTTTTTAATAAATATTATATGATTATTTTTGTTTATTTCCTTTATAAAATTATTCTGACATGCTTCAATTTTGCAGGATTGGAGATCCGGTACCATTATTTCCTTTTCTGCTTCAGCTGTCCAAGTCTTCAAGTGTGAAACACAATTGGTAATTTCTATCCTCCATGAAATTATAGCAATATTATAGCTAATATAAATATTTTATGGCGCTTTTGATTACTGTCCCAACTCCTTTTTTCTTATATTCGATAACTTGCCCGGGTTTGTTGTTGTTGTATGTTGATTCGAAGGTAGAAATTGTTTTCATACAACTATTTGATTTTGGCATTGGATCTCAAAAATTATTTTCTTTATTGCTCTCTACATATTTATAGAAAGGTCACTATGTGCTGAGCTAAAATCGGGTCAAAAGTTATAGTTTTGGCTGCAACTATGGTTGTCTTTGTATGTCTTCATGCTCTGTTATTGGAGTTCCACAAGCTGAAGAATCATTGTACAATGCTCCTGTTTCTTGTATTGATATCACAAAAGTGGAATAACTAATTTCTATGTACTGAGCTTGGCATCAAGCATTAACTTATTTAATCTCTAAAATAAGAACAGAAGGGCAAACAATTTTTTGTGGCAAATATATCTTCATCCTTGTAAACGACTTCTCTTCCTCCATGGTGATAGTCTATCTAATCACTGTAGTGAGGAAATTCGAAGAGCCTTTGTGTTCTGGCTAAACTCCCCTAATTGCCTCTCAGCTTTCTACTCCTATGTGACAGCTTTTCCTATTGACTTTATTTTAACCAAGTTTTTCTCCTCATTGTGGAGCTGGCTGACAAGTTAGATCCTCGAACCCTCATACATTCCCCCCCCCCCCCCCCCCCCCCCATTGTTGCTTAAGCAGAACTTTGTACAGCCTTCTGATTGTTTCTCTAGATTCAAAAGCTAGAGGAGAGCTGAAGCTGAAACTCTTACACGTTAATATTTCGTTCCTGTACTGAATGTCTCCGCAGACGTGGAAGTGCTCCAGGATTCCGCAGTTCAAAACCAGAGTTGAGACTCTGCAAAATAGAATTAAGAGGTCAAAGTCATGATATCGTCAGAACACACTGTTAAAGCTGCTTCTTAAAATAAATAATGGACAAGACCGCTAGATTTCCATAATATTGATCGTTCCTCTTTTATTTATGAACAGAAAGCTAACCCCTTATTGATAAATGTTTTCGGTAGCATGAAAAACCTGTCTGAAGAGATATAAGCTAGCAGTTGTGTAATTTCACATGATAATCGACACAAAATGCTCTACTTTCAAACATTCTGTTTCTTGCAACTTAACAGCAGAACTGCAGCAACTAAAAGTTGAAATCTAGGCTGTTTCTGATCAGTTTCCTGCAGCTCTCAAGTTAGCTGTTTTTTGGTTGAAGTGTTCCTCTGTTATTTGCTAACCTATATTGTGTTTTCTTTTCAGAATCTGAAAAATATTTGAATAGACATGAATCAAGAAGGGTGCTCAAGCAAAAATAAGAAAATATCCAACTGTATTCCAGCTGGATCACTTGCATCTTTGCGAAACCAAAGGGTTTCGTCGTTGAAAACAAAAAGAACCTTCCAAGATACAAGGTCAAATGAAAATGAAGCACGACAGTCAGAAGGTGGATTACCTTCATCTTTGCGAAACCAAAAGGTTTCGTCATTGACAACAAAACAGTCTTGAAAGCTATAAGGTCAAGTGCAAATGAAGAACATCAATCCGAAGGTGGATCTCAATTGCAAGAACAAGTGCAACAAGTGCCACGGAATTCCACCTCTTCAGCAGCACAAGGAGTACACGAACAAGTGCATCAAGCGAATATGGATTCCATCACTCATGCATCACAGGGAGTACATGAACAATTTGATGATTCGACCAATCATGAAGCAGCTGAACAAATTGAGGAACAAGGCAAATATATATAAATTTTAATCATAAACTTAACTAAAAATAGTGATTAATGATTATCTTTGTTTTGTACTATTGTAGGCCCCTCCTCGCCAAAAAAAAAAGAGGCCGTACTCAAATGCCAAGTGTTCATAGTAGAAAGGAGTGTAAAATAGTCATTCTAAATGAGTATAATCAACCCGTTGGTCCTACTAAAGAGGTTGTAAAAGAGCTGGGTAGCTTCCTCGGCACATTGGCAAGGAGTGGAACTTTTTGTCCTCTTAATGTATTTAATTGGAGGAAACTAGACACAAAAGATGATATGTGAAAATATATCACGGTATGAAGTTTCCAATGTCCAATAAACATGGATGATATTTCTTATTTCTTACACTAACCCAATTGCACTAAATTTGTAGGAAAAATATGACATTCCTGACGAGGCGAAACCATGGGTTTTTGAATCAGTTTGTAGTGCTTGGAGAAAGTATAAGAGTCAATTGAAGGCAACCCACTTCACAGTCTATGAGAATGATGAGCTTCGAATGGAGAATAGGCCAGTAGATGTTCCGGAATCTCGCTTTAAGGATCTTCTTAAATATTGGAACTCTGATCCACACAAGGTAATTACATCCAGAATCTCTTGTCTTGTTTTAACATAATTGTATATTCTTGAAATTTTGAACATTTAATATTTCTATGTCTGAGTTGAGGGAGAGATTACATGGATATGGAATTGAAAGAGTCTCCTTTTTTTGTGGGTCTGATCATTTACTTCCCAAAATTGCCCTTTTTTATTATTTGCAGGATAATTATAGACTATAGTGCAATACCCAAATAGGGACTTAGTGATCTGTATCCAACCCCATATATACTATATTCTTAAAGCTTTTTCCATTTTTTCTCTCTTTCCTTTTGATCTTAGGTTCCTCTATTGCTCTAAAACATTTTGTGCTAGTAACTGTTGTTTACTACTAGATCATGGAATGTAGCATTTTGTCATGATTTTAACTTGAAAAAACTCTTCACTTGATCTTGGTTCTGGATTTTGTTTGATATTTGATTTGTTTTTACTCAATGGAAGAAGATCAAGAATTGAAGTAGTTTTGTAAGTTGTGTGCGAGGTAAAAGGATGCACCAGCATCTGGAACCTCTTTAAGTGTTTTTTGCAAAGATAAAGTGAATACATTCACTTTAACTATCACATATTCCACGATCCAACTTTAGTAAACCTATTTTTTCTTACCAAGCAAATATCAAGTTGACTAGGAAATTCTTATAAACAATCTGGAGCATTTCGCTGTTTTTGCTGCCCCTAAATTTGGCATGAAATCACATAAGTAAACTTCAAATCAGCTTGAGCCCGTGCTTCTCGTGATAATTCAAAACCTTGACTTGTGAGAGATCTTGTATGAGAATGACCATCCACTCCTTATAAAGAAACAAAAGTAAAAAACTACATCAGGACATTCAAGCTTTTCATTTGACATAAGCTCTGTAATTCAGATCTTTTTTTACTACTTTTTGTTTCATGCTTCTCCCTTACTCATCTGGTATTCATTTGGTACTCGTTTATTTGCAGAAAATGTCTGAAACCAATACTGAGAATCGAAATAAGTTGAAGTGCCCGCACACTGCTGGCAGAACACCTTTTGCTCTAATTCGTGAGGTTTGATGTTTTCTCTTTCTTCCTTTTTTTTATTTATTTATGAACAAGCTAACTTTACATGGAAAGATTCTTATACTAGTTTTCATGTAACTAGGCAAAAAAGAAGGAAATGTCTGGTACTTCAGATACCTTGTCAAGTAAGGACATCTTTGTGGCTACAAGACAAAGAAAACTTGGCCGAGTATACAAAAGCTCATATGACAATACGATTAGTAAAATTGTAAGAAATTTCTAATTTAATGTTTGTTGTGATTATTTATTTGTTCTTAATTAATGATTAAATTTTATTTACTTAAACTCTTTTCTCTCGCATTTGGTTTATAGGCTGAAATGGAGAGACTACAATCAATTGAAGAAAGTGAAGGTGGCAGCCATTCAGTTGACGCTTTTGAATCAGTCATGGGACCTGAACATCCAGGTCGCATGAGATTGTATGGACGAGGGGTAACCAAGACTGTCTTGAAAGGGAAAATAGGGAATCTTGGATCTTCTTCTGATGCTGCTGATGAGAGGAAGCAACACAAAATGGAGGAAATGGAAGAGCGGATGCAACAAAGAATGCTGGAAAAGTTGAACGAACAAAAGGATGCTATGGAACAACATATTACAATGAACGTCGTCGCACGACTTCAGCGTCTGAACCCAGAATTGCGTCTTGATCCTGACATGCTAAGGTTCGTAGAAGCTTCCTCAGCACAACAAGTTGCTGTTCAACTAAACAATCGACCATCTGCTGGTAGTAACAATCAAGGTCAGTACTTACCAAATGTTATATATCTTCTTCTATTTCTTCTACTCCTCATTCCTTGTGCTTCTTCTTCTACCACTTCTCTCTCTCTGGAAAGCATGCGCCAAAAAGGAATAACTATGCATCAATCATTTTTTGCTAAGTATGTATCATTTTTCGTGAGTCCCTTTATATACTGAATAAGTATGTATCATTTTTCGTGAGTCCCTTTATGTACTGATTTCTCAATCATTTTTTGCTATCCAGTTGTACATCACATCATTGTTTGCTGCTTTTGATTTGAACCTGAAGTACACTATACATATTGACTCTGAGTTTTGATTTTCTTCTTTCTAACAACTCGCTGAAACTGTAATATGAAGAAGTGAAGCAATATAAAAGGATTGCATGATTGTTGCAATAGCAAAATTAGCTACAAAATGCTGAACTGGAACTTTCTAACCCAGAAAATGTTGATATTGGGGCATCTTTTCTCCCATAAATGAAACATGACATATGATTTGAAAGACCAAATATGTCATTTGGTTTAAGGCAGGGCTGCACATATGATCTGCACAGTAGAGCTGTTCACTTAGCTAGATGTTTGGGCATTTTTTTTTTGGCAATCCGCTAGGCAAGTGCCTAGGGCTAATTTTTATATTGTCTTTTTCCACTTTGTCAACTGTATGGACTCGACAGCCATTATCCAGTACTTGTTGCTTTCGTAGCCTAGTGAAGATTTAGTCTGTACATGAAACCAAAATTGCCTTGTTGATTTCCTCTTTGAGAGCCATTGAAATGGTTGAATTTGTGCATCATTTTTGCACCATTCTAGCCTTGCTGCAAAAGGCTCTTTAAACATGTAGGCAATTTCTGCTGTGTCGTGTTTTTGCTTGCCATTATTGCTCGTCCAGATGTAAATTTTAGACTTCACATGTGATCTGCATATAGAAGGCGTAGCACTGACACGGTCACATTTGTTTTTCGATGCTGAAAACACTGCCCAACACCTCGCAATTTTTCTCTCCAGCTGTGCTTTGTTGATGTCAATGTTTGTTACAATTGATGTGTGGTAATCTGAAATGTCCCATGCTTTGGCCCATTCTATAGGTGTACAAAATACTACTCCTAGTATCCCAATGCGCATGTCCAAACTGTCACCCACAGTCCTTGGTAATTTCAACCACGCCTGAATTCTTTTTGCTCCTATCGATTTTGTTTCCTCGATTCTTTCCTTTTGTTGATTATTAATTCTCCAGATGTGCGCATTGTTTACACTCTTGTATGCTTTCTTTTGTTGGTCCTTGTCTATCCTTTATTGATTCCCTTTCCTTGCCTTTGTGATTCTGGTTTGCCCCTCTAGGACGCTATAGGATGTTGGTTTCCACACGAGCATTATCCAATGAGCATATGTAAAGTCAAAGTTGAGTTGAGTTCTGCTCGTGTAAAGGTGCCTCATTGTGACTCCATTTACATATACTGTATGAAGGGTCATCACAGTGTAAAACATGTCGACAGTAGTCACACCTGCAAAAAAGCCAACATAATTAGTGATAACCTGCATTCCCTTGTTCTCATCCTTTTGGATTTGAGCATAGAGGCTGACTGATCTTTGTGCGTCCCAGTTTTTTGTAGTAGTGTCAACGACCTCTATTTGAATATGTTTCCCATAAAACCATCTCCTCATGATTTCCTCCCTAAGAGTATGAGTAACTTGCTCTCTTGTGTATGCTCCAGTTGGTTGCTCTTCTCTGTTGTCTTCCATCTGAATTTGAGCGTTATGATCGAGTGATTTCCTACAGATGTTCCTACTCCAGCTGTGTATTTTCATTTGTTGCAGCGTTTGTAGGACTGATATCAACACGCTGTGAATTTGCTTTGCTTCTATTTCTTGACAGCCTCTGCCTCATTATTTGTGGCCTGTGGTATCTTCCTACCTTCTGCATAAATAACATCACATTTCGCATCTCTTAATACATAACCTATGGAACTCCCTCCAGAGTTTGCCCTGCTCGCGCCATCTGTATTGACCTTAATCCATCCTTCATTAGGGAGTTCCCAGATTACTTGTGCATTCCAACCCAATGCAGGTGACTAAATATGGGTCTCAAATGACAATTCTGCTCTTCTCCTTTTTTACATATTACATGGTATTTGTTATTGGTCTAAATATATTACATGGTATTTGTTAACTGGTAGTGGTATTAAATTTTTTGTTTGGCAAGTGTTTGGTTATTGATACATGGTATGATGTGGTGCTGCTGCTGCTGCTTCATTTTTCATTCTTCTTCTTCTTTGACACCAGCGAATGTTCTCGGATTTATATTTTTTTGAGAATATATCTAAAGTTATAATCGCCCACATTCCATCAAAGTGTGTCATTTTAGATTTATGGGATTGTGAGCTTCTCATGTTTGTTTACACTTTTATTTATACTCTTTTGTAGGTGGAGTAGATCAAGGAATGGAAGAAGATGATGAATGTGAAGAACTAGACCTTACTTGAGATGAACTTTGAATGGCTATAGATGAATGTTCAATAGGAATCTTTTGTTATCCAACATTTTTGAAACTTATTCTCTTGAAATGTATTAAACTTATGAAATTGGGGAAGAACATTTGCTTTATGGATAATTTATATTGTTAATAGTTTCATTTTATTATTTATTTGAATTTTAGTGTTATTATAATTTATTATATACATAAATATTTATTTGTAACAGGTGCTATATTTTGGTTTTAACTGAACCGATACAATAGCCTACCAGAACCGTTGCAATAGGACACAAATAACGTTCCAGTAGACCATGTAAACCGTTGCAATAGATCCTATAAAATGTTCCAAAATGATCTATAAACCGTTCCAATACATACATAACCGTTACGATAGCTTAAAAGAAACCGTTGCTATATCCAACATAACCATAGCAATAGCTTACATAAGTGTTTCTTTAAATAATATGGCAACGGTTAAAAACCGTTGTATAAACAATATAGTAACGGTTTAAAATCGTAACAATTGAAAAAATTAACCGTTCCAACAGAGAAAGGGAAAACCGTTACAATAGACGTATCTATTGTCACGGCGATGCAAACCGTTGCAAGAACCGTTCCAATAGACCTATGGGTACGCCGGCTGATGTGACGGTCTGTAAACCGTTCCAAAATCCCTACGACAACGTTTTTGCAGTCTATGGGGACGGTTTTTCAACCGTTACCATAGACCAATTTTTCTGTAGTGTTGGTGCTAAATCATGTTGGATATTGAAAAGGAAAAAACGAAATGTTTTATTTACAATGGTTCTTGGCCTTCCAGTTGAATTTGGGAGAAATTTCTTTCCATTTATGGGAATCCGGTGTGGAAATATCAAAAATCGTATGTACCCATTGGGTCAGATTTTGAATCGAAGGAGGGACCCAACGTGTAGCTAAAGTAAGAGAAACAAAAGTTATCAAAAGGGAGAATTTTCTTTAACGTAGTAGAAAAAGGGTGTTTGAGAAACTTACGAGTAAAGTTCCAGGACTCAGGGGTAGAAGGTACTGTCATCGGAAGGATGTCTCTGGTAGCAGTGACAATGAATCTTTCCATCCAACCACAATCGTTATCATCATCGATATTGGCAAAGATGGCATGGTGATCGTGTTTGCTGAGTTTGATCATACCCCTGTGGAAGTTCTTTGGGAAGTAGAGGTTGATCAGATGGGCAAGAGTGGGGGTTTCACCGCATCGTAAACACAATACCCGAAGGCAAGCCACCGTACACCATATTGACGGACTTACCTGAGCCAAGTCGATTTGGTAGTTGTGAAAAAACTATAAAATAATGGAAAATTTCTTGGCTCATTCTTAAAGTAAAAAGGTATGTGTAAATGTACATGAACACTAGTTTACTGAAGGTGACCCTTTACACTTCATTGGGGGCTAAAATTTTAATATTTTTTCAGTCGCAATCTTCTTTCACAACTAGGATACTAGCGACGGATGGAAGAAGGATATCTGCTGACATGCCAATTTCTGTAATTTTTAGGGTTAATGGGTTCCTTTTGTACATGAAGATCCGTCTCAAAATTCAGTTGAGCGGGGATAATTGTGCTGGTATTTGGAGAGTCGACATCGGCTTCTTTAGCTTTGTTCTTCTTAGAATGGCCGCCACCGATGTAAATGCCATAGTTTCCGGGAACAGAAGTAGTAGAAGACATGGCGATGGAATGTCTGAGTAAAACTTCTTTTACTAAAAGAGAGGGTTGTAGAAAAGCTTTGAGGAAATTCGAAGAAGAGGGGTTTGTAAAAGTAAAAGATAAAAATGGCATGGAGGAGTTTATAGGTGTCGGAATTCATGGTCATCATTACCTAGGGAACTGGCGAAAATACTTGCCAAATTACAGACAGTACGTGTTCGGCTCATTGAATGCAAGGAGACGTGTCCACTCTAGTGTCAGAAACCGTTCAGGAACTTTCCACCAAGAAAAGAGGTCTTATCTACTTTCTGGTAACATAAACTTTAGTCACCGGAAAGTAGGGGGACTATCCGTATGGGGTAAAATTGACAAATGGCAAGTGGATGCTTGTAAAATTGACACGTGGTAGTAAAGTCAAATAAGAGATAGTCAATAGATGGCACCGGTTACAAACACGTGACCGGTGCTGAGTGAGTTCCAAATACACTGGAACTGGGGGCGAGAAATCTGAAATGAAGATCTCGGTTGGAAAAGACATAATTCAATGAGTAGCCGTTACAAAGAATCGTTGCATTTAAACTCAACTGTTATGCAACCATCAATAGGGGTTTTATTCATATTGAAGAAGAACTTGATTTAGGGATCTTGTCTCCCTGAATTGAGCTATAAATAGAAGAATTTGTATTCACTATTGAGACGAAACATCTGTATGCAAAAAAGGCAAAACTTATGCTTATTCTATTTACAATGCTCTTTCTTTCTCCGTATTATATTATTTTACTTCTGTTTCCGGGAAAGCTCACTTCACAATGAGGTTTGTATTTCCTTCAAGTTTACTTAATCAGTTTATTTCTGTTCTTATTATTTTATATTCTTAGATCAAATTAATTCACGTGTCTATAAACAAAATGTACATGGAAGACTCACTTCCTGCAATCATAGTAGTATTAACATAGCTAGCCTTTTTTTGGTGTTAACTGATATTGGATTGAGCATGTCTAGTCCTTTCTACTTCTTAGAGGAACATAGGCATTTAGTTCCTTTTGTTGTATGTTTCTTATTTTGGTTATTAATCCATTGGTAGGGGTCTGCCTAATCCTCCATCAAATTAGTGGTCTTCAAATTTTTTTTTTATTTTTTTTTAAGTGTTAACTTAAGAAATCATCTGGAAAAAGTGGTCTTCTATAATAGCTATGTTTTCCATAGCCTGCCCAGCCCCTTTGACACCATTCATTTTCCACATTTAGAAATAGACACCTGGAAACATTCAATTTACAGGCTTTAGATTAATTTTTTAGCCGTTAGCAAGAGTAACTAAAAACAACTGGTAGTTTAGTGGTATTGCCTCGAAAGATTGATCATTCACTACAAAGTCCTTTCACCAGAAAAAAGATGTCATAACATTCTTGATGATTATTCAGAGTTCTCATTAAACACATTTGATTAATTCATATTTTCTCAATAGTTAGTGAAAAAATTGAAGGATTGAATTAAATGAAGGAAAAAATTTGATAGGAGTATTTAATCGATTCACGTTGCATTAAACAAAAGGATAATGTAGAAAAACTGCAAGTTCTCTTATCTCCAAGACATTGATCACGATTAATTGAAGTTGTTGTAAATCTCTATCTCCTTGAAGAACTTCACCTATTAAGTGGGCGTTTGGACATAAAAAATGTAATTTTTGAAAAAAATGGATGTGGAATTTGAAATTATGTTTGGACATGAATTTCAGTTGAAAAAATATAGTAGTTTTGTGAGTAGGGAAAGTTTTTTTTCTTAAAATTTTGAAAAAGTAGTAACTAATTTTCAAAAAGTTTCCATAAACTTGCAAAATTTTATGGACAAACACATATTTAATTTTTTATTTTTATTTTTTTGGTGGAAAAAAGGAAAAAATTTATATGGCCAAACGGGGCCTAAAGTTAGCTCCTTGAGACATTCATTAAATGAAGACTCAAAATTTATTTGTCTCCCACCTACTTCAAGCTATTAATTTACTTATCTAGAAGTGTTTGATAGAGACCTTCCAGCTAGTTTTGTTTGTTTTAGACACAACGTGTTCTTTGCAAAGATATTTTCTTTATATGTTCGGTTATGTTTTAGACATAACTTGTTTCTTTGCAAAGATAAACAACAACAGCATATCCAGTATAATCTCACACAAATATTCTCTCTTTATATATTTAGTATTGTAGTATCTTATTATAATAACTACTAATTTAGGAGACTTACAAGTATCTTTTTTATAAAAATAGATTTGCAGTAACCACGGATTGAGTCATCGGAAATCTCACGAATTGTGTCACCGATTGTTGGAAATGCTCACAAAGCGGACGAACTTCATTTGTCTAAAGCCTAAAAATCCCCTAAATATTGTGTTATCTCCCTCCGTTGTTGTTGGTTGCTTGGAGCGTCCATACTTTGCCAGTGTATCAGTCACAGAGTTGCCTTCCCAATATATATATATGGGAAAGTTCACAAACTGCATCCAGAAAAGTATGGTATAAAGTGAGACCATACATAAGATAAGCTAGAAGATATAAAGTTGTCAATTGAGTCGTGATCGAAACTCCTACTAATAATTTAGGAGTCGAAGGACCACTTATTCAATGCTTGGGTTCCCTTTTTTCTCGGGCTGTAGTAAAATACACACTTTTTATGACGACCGATCAGTATTACTAGGGCATAGTTATAATCACATGCAATTTGTTCAATAACTTTGGGATTTTTACGGGATTAACCAGTCAGGATAAATTAATCACCTAAATCAATGTATAAAATTCAGCCATTAAAAATATATAGCACATTTTGTAAAAATAGATTTGAAGGTACACAACAATAAGAATAGTAAAATTACACTGTTGTATACTATTAATATACTATTAAGGTATACAACATGTGAATTGAATACCTCGAAGGTATATGATGTACATACATGCTGAGTATTTTATAAATATTTTCTTTTATCTAAATAGGTATAAATTGTAATATCTTTTAAAATGAGTTTTTTTGCATAATTATATTGGTCCAAAGATTAAAGAATTAGCCCATTCTTAGCCAAGCAGACAAATGACTTTATATGTTTGTTTTCTCTATGCTATTTTTAGTTGCGGGCATATTTTATTAGGGAAAAGGCGTAAGTATCTTTTGAATTATAGCCGAATTTTTAATTACATACTTTATCTTTGCGGAGGTCCTATTACTCCTCTAGAATACTTTGAAGTAGAATTAATTTCACTGAGAAATGCTACGCCAAGATCTGGAGTAAGTGGTAAATACGCGTGCCTACCCAGGTCTGACACATGTATTTTCTATTTAAGTTTCTCTTTACTTTTTTCTTTTTTCTTTCCATGATCTTCCACAACATTTCCACCATTAAAATAATTTCAGAGCTTCTTTTGCAGGTGAAATGCTTAAATAAATTGTCATCACAATGGATGTAATTGTCTCTACTTGTTTTTATAGAATTTTCCTACTAGTC